AGCAGGAATTTAAGAAAAAAACAAAGGTTGCACTGGGAGGCTCAGGGGAGGCAACATATCCATGTACATTAATTCAAAATCTAGTTCAGATCATGTTTTAGGGCAGCTCCTTTACACACTCCCACCTTTTCCCTCGACTGACTGGTTTGGTTTTGCAAAATTAACCTATTTCCATCACCTGAAATAAATTAGGCTAAACCCACAGAGAAATCCAACCCCCACAAAGACACCAGCAGAAGGGCTCTTTCGAAAGAAATTTAGGTGAGACATAAAAGACTTGAATTACCCTACTCTGCTATTGTATACCTGTTGTATGGCTAAGCTGAGGCCTTCAGTAAATCCAGGTTTCCTTATGTATTAAAGTGAATCATTAAAAAAAAAAGAAGCAGGGATAATAAATTAGTGCTAGTTTTAGCACAGCAGTTCAGAAGTCACTTCCTAACCGTACAGCGATCTCCCAGTTTGCCCTTACAGTCACTAATCTTCACAGCCCTGCCATTATAAAATATACAGAAGAGAAAGAGGTGAAAGAGGACAGGGAAATTTGGTTGTCAACAGCTTATGGTGCTCTCTCCACCTTGCACAGCCCTTAGTCTGCTGTGCACACACATTTATACAAGTATTATCCCCACTCCAGCACTGTTTCTTCAGGTTTTACTCTGAAGAGCAAGGGTAGCATTTGGAACAAACTCAGATTTGCTTTTTCTTCAGCCACCCTCTGATGCAGATGATTTATTATGCTCATTTGTGGTTTTCTGGAGTTTGGAGGCCTTCTTGAGTTTTCTTTTGTGCACTCCATTGCAAAAATGCTTAAAGAGCACTTCTGTCCCCAAAGAACTCACATGTTAAAAGCATATGGAGATGCAACAGGTAAATTAAATGGATCAGGGACAGACAAATGAATTAATAGACTAAGAAATGCTTACTAAGTACTACTTAGATACTCAAGAAAGGACAGACCTAAACTTTACTCAGACTCCTCACTCACATTAGCATTAGGGTTGCTCTCAGTGAAATCAGGGGCAGTCAGACTCCAGAGACTTCAGCACTTAAACACCATTAAGGACCTGGACTTTGACAGAGATCTTCAAAATGGCCCCACCACTATCAAGGACAACTTAGTCACCGTTTTCCTCATTCTAGTTTTTCAGTTGCATCTCTCCTGTACTCTGCTGTCAAAATTGGATAGCAGTGCCTTTTGTTTTTGCTATGTTACCCTTTTCTCCTTTTTTCTTCCTGGTCCTGTCCAGGTGGTCTTTCAGCATGATGCGCACTTGTCGTTCATTCTGCATGTCTCGAATGAAAGAATGCTTTAGCAAGGTCTCAGTGGATGGACGATGCAAATAATTCTTTACAAGGCAGCTTTCAACAAAGTTTAGGAACTTCTTTGACCTGAAAAAGATAAAGAAGTGGAAAAAAACAACAATCCTTTTCAACTTCGGTGCCAAGCACTACCCTGAGTGATGGAAAGCACTAACTTTCCACTAACAAGGTTTCCTTTTACACTGGAACTGAGAGAGACAATTTGTCACTATGATGCCCCCTGAGATCACCACACTGCTGAGGGTGAGTGACAGGGAACTCCACCCTGACCGCCTGCTCAGTGGAGTTACCCTGAATTTACATCTGGATCAACAAAATCACAACCTGGCCAGCGTGACTCTTTCAAAAAACACCCTTAACCTTTTGATACAGTAAAAATTTTCTTTATATACTTCATTTAAAAGACAAATGAATACTCTTTAGGCTACGGTGCCTGTCATTAGCCCCACAGCATCCATGCAGTCTTCTGACAAAGCTCTGACCCCAAGCAGCCCACCTAATTCTTGCCTACAGTGCAGTTTCAGCCACCCATGCCAAACTTTAGCAACTGCAGTGACTTCTGCATTTTAGGCTGAGTACAAAAGAAAGGTGTTGCTTCCCAAAGGTAAAATACATCTGCACCAGTGGCCTGACCCAGCACTAGAAACAGCCTAGGAAAGACCCCGTAGATCACTGAGGGATTTAACAGGATCATTGTTTCTGGACAAGAGAGCTCAAAATCCTCCTAAGCCCAATGCAGCAAACGCACAATTTTTACACATCTCTTTACCATTTTCTGGATTTCAACTTTGGGGGCGGGTTCCGTGGGATGAGGAAAAGCGCTCTCATGGGGTGCATGTCACACAGGGCTGCAAAGGAAACCACAAGTTCTTGAAGGGTACATGTCCCCACCATGTCCCTCCCACAGCCTGACCACACTGACGCAGCCTGGTTCTCCCGTCAAGAGAGGAAGAGTCTTCCACAAGCAATCCTACTTCTAACAGCACAGCATCTGCTGCAGAACCTCAGCATTAGTCAATAAAATTCACACTATACCCAAGAAATAAAGTCTCTGAGCACACAGAAATTTTTCATAATAGTATGCTGTTACTGCCAGTTAAAAGAGATTTGAAAGGAAGTCTGCATGGCCTTGTTCCTCAAGTACAATTTTCTTCACAGTTTTTATATATAAGGCTTCAGAAGGACACAAAAAATCCTTACCTTTCCAATACACCAAAAGGTGTTTTCAAAATAAACAGAAGTTAAAGTTGGGATTGAAATACTTTTCTATTTTGTCTGGCTTATGGTTCAGATAAATGACAAGCTAAATTTTAACTAAACTCTCAGCTACATTGTTCATGGCATAAGAGAAAATGCAGGATGAAGAAAACCTGATGTGAGCTGGAGAGCTCAGACTGCATCACTGGCACAGAGCGTAATGACAAAGCACACATTCCATCTATTCTGTGTTTCACGAGTGTGAGCACCATTATTACACAATTTGAAACAGATTCTGCTCATGCATTCAGATGCTGGTTTCTCCCAACCCAATGTACTTCTCTTTAGTGTTACTGTTGTGGAAAGTTGAAATTACAAAGAACTCTACAGAAAGTAAATACCATCACATTTCATCTATCCCAGGAGTTTTGTATGGAATTATGAGTGTGTGCCATCTGTCAGAGAAATCCCAAGGGTCAAAGATCTTCATGACACAGAGCTACTGAATGATAACTAACATGACGATATGGAGGCTAATTTTTTACCATATACATTTGTTTGGCAGTGATTCTCTTAACAGGAATGGACTTCCAGCACTGCAGAACTAGTGAAAGTGAAAAGAGGGTGGCTGGTAAAGCCTTCTCTGGCTTCTATTAATTTCCCTGCCTGCATCCACCTGCTGTCATTTCTTACATCTTGGTTCTGGTTTTGACTGTTTTCTTTGTATTTTCCATAGCATTATCACATGGGGATGGGGGCAGAAGAAGTCTGGTTTCTGTGTATGGGTCCCAAACACTGTTGTACTACAATAAACAAAATACAATGCCACAGAATATCATCCATATAATTTCCTTGCCAAAACTAGTGAAAACATCAAATACCGTGGCAAGAAGAATTGGCATGCAAAGCCACAAAGGGTCTCAAAGAAAATTCCCCACAGACCATGTCTCAGGACCAAGCTTCAGCTAGGCTGAAGCACAGTATCTGAAAGTGCTCCTGAACTCCAGCTGGTTCCTGAGCACAGCTGAAAAACAAGCCTGACAGGAGAACAGCCAAATGTGTTTTTAAAAGCAGCCTACGTGCTCTCAAGCTCAGGCCAGAGTATAATTTATTTCATCTCCTGTGCTCTCAGCAGTGACTGTATCCCCCATCATACCACATCACATCACATCTGCTTTTTGGGCGCTGGGGCAAAGCAACTGGTCCTCTGTGGAAACAAAACTGCACAAGGTCTTTACACGCATGCTGCAGCCGCCCATCTCTGCCCAGCACCTGCAAGTGGCTAACTGGAGGAGCGAGGGGGGCAGCTGGCAGGCGAGGGCAGGCTGTGAAACTATGTCAATCTGCTGTCAGGTTGAAAACGTGGTTGTGGACCATAGCCATTATGTAAGCAAATACAGTATTCATCTCCAAACTGGTGAGAATCAAGTCAGTCCCAGTGTAAAAATATAACCTAAAGCCTGGCTTCTACCACGGCCATATTTTTAAGTGTCCTAAACCCAAAGCTACTTATGTCATTTTTTTCTACTGCTTAGCTGTACCTACAGACAGTGCTCAACATAGTGATGCTAAGAATAAAAAAATTTTTGTTTGCCTAGGAAATGAAGGCAAGGAATCAATGTAGACGTAAAGGGACTAAAAGAAAAGCAGAAGAGTCCAAATGAATAAAAGTAATGGATAATTTTTAAAGATATGGCCAGAACCAGAATTTTCTACATCTGTGCATTAGCCAAGGATGAGTTATTTTGTCATAGAACACATTCACAAAACACAGGTGCCCCCACCTTTACACCAAATCACTTACGAGGAGCTCCTTCGGCCATTTCAATAGCAGTGATTCCCAGAGACCACAGGTCACTCTGCAGGAAAAGAAACATTGCACATTGCAACTTGCAGCATTCAAGCTTCTATGTTTTTAATTTTCTTTAGAGTTTTTGATTTGGTTTGGGTTTTGTGTGTTTTTTACAGTTTCCCTAGATTTCTCCTAGATCAGGTCATTTTAGTTGGAATGACGTACATTCTACTCCCTCCCATTCCCTACTGAGGTTTTCAGAAACATGCTAATAGCCAGAACTTCCCATTTCCCATGCAACTCTGAACAGATGATTCATCATTTAAGCAGCCAGACCTTCTGCATTCAAAAGAACAAGAGCCAGAGCATAGCAGGCACCATTTAAATGTAAGTCTTAAATCTTTTTAACTGTTTCCGTGATGTAGTGAGACTCAGCAGTGCCCCACCACCCTGCTCCTGGCCAAAAACAAATTCGTGGTCTTAATGCTTATTTCAGAGCAGTCACTGTGGAATTTCTACACTGATGGAACAGAAATTATAGTCAGGCCTTGGGGTCTGACTTCTTCTGTCTTCCGAGTCTCTAGTTACATGTTTTGGGCACATGAAAGGAGAGCACATCTTGCAGCCATGTTGTGCGTGTGTGTGTTCAGCTCAGTTACTTCGAGTGGAGTTCCCTTTATCAGCTTACCTGGATGCTAAGGGCCAAGTTTTGACCATGGAAGGTAAATCGGAAACACCAGCAGTGACTGCAAAAACTTCACAGGTTTCCACTTGATTAATCATGTGCATTATTCTACTATTTTTTGTGTCTAAATGTAGCCAAATGAGAGGCATGTGACCAAACCAACTTGCAGAGCTTCTCCAAAACTATCTTTTACAAAGGGAGCAACGCAAGACAAACCTTCAAAGATTAGAAGCATATATACCATTACATGAGTAGCAGCTCATACCCAGCCTGGCACTCTGAATTTGATTTTATCAACAGAGCCTTCTCAATCCAGCTGCTCTGAACTGTTTTATGCAAGCTGAAAACCAGTTCACACTGGTAGGAATTTAACAGCTTCATGATCTTGACTCATTATTAAGTAGATGAATGAAAATCAGAGAAGTCTTTGCAGGCTATTACCACAGGCTCTGGGGCAATGGAAGAAACAATCGGGCTACAAAGCATTTTGGTTTGGAGTTTCAAAGCATGAGAGGTAGAAAGGTGAAAGGGAAGATGACAGCAGCACTTATACAAGTCAGCATGTAAATACGTATTTATGCATATATATTTTTACTCATTTTATAATCTCTCATCTGCAGAATCTATTTGGAACCAAACATAAATGCATGTGGATGAACTCTGATTATTACTGAAAGTAAAGAATCCTCAAGAATTAGGTGTGCACATTCCTAATGCTTGTATCTTCTGAAAAGTGTACGTTCTGAAAAGGAAAGCAACTGGGGACAGGGAATGAAGACAAGAGATTAATTTACTGAAGATTTAAATGGTATGAAAAATAAAATCCAAGAACATTCTTTGGTCATGACTGACACTCATACAACATGACCTCACTCTGCCAGTGCAGCATAGAAGGTCCTAGCAAGGGAGAATTACAATCTCTGGATCACTAGAAAATGGAAGCAATAACGGGTTATTCTAATAAATATTTCTGAAGCCACAATTAGAATGAGAGGTGCAAAGTGGCAACCATGAGAGTACTTGAACCAAGAGAATGACTGGAGTGTCACTCAGAAGATGGCTGCTCAGAATGTCATCACTGGAAAGCATCCTGCATAAGTGTAGACAGACAAATGACAACACCTGCTGGAAACATGCCAGAGGACAAAGAATAAGTCTCTCTGAAACAGCATCAGCATGTTTTAAGATACAGGAAGAGAACCAGGAAAAGGTGCTTGATAGATGTTCTTGGGCTCCCCAGTACAAGGAAGTCATGGACATACTGGAGTGGGTGCAGCAAAGGGCCCCAAAGATGTTTAACGGATTGGAGCTGGCAGGTTCTGGGCTGAGAGAGATGTAACTGTTGAGCCTGGAGAAGGGAAGGCTCAGGGGAATCTCATACATCAGTACAAATTCCTAATGGAAGGGGAATGAAGATGACCAAGCCAAACTTCTCAGCAATGCCCAGTGACAGGACAAGAGACTATGGACATAAATTGAAATACAAGAAATTCTGTGCTTTCTCATCTCTACCACCCTCCAAATAACCCAAAATCATTCTGGGATGGGGAACCTCTTGTAGTCACATGCTTGTAAATGAGTGAAGTGATACTAATTATTACCAGTTAAATCAGGATTTGCAGCTGAGTAGAGAGTAAAAGAGCTCTATCGGAGGAGAGCAGTAAGTTGTCATATTAGTATTACACTATTTCAAGTATTCCTTCCAAATTTACCTCTTCCTTTCTATCCTGACCTGCAACCTCCATATGTCAGGTTCTGTTTGTTCTGTTGATGGGCTTTTTTTTTTTTTTTTTTGCACAGAAGTTCATGAAAGTGTATTTCATGTATTAAAAACTAACAAAAAAGTATTCATAATGAAACTCCACTCTTAAAAAGAGCCACCACCCACATACTTCTATTTCTCCAGTTACAATGTTATTGTGGTTTAAAAGGAGAGAAGTTTGAACTTTTCAGATGCAGTAGTTGAGCAGTATTTTCAGCAATAACTTGCACATTTTGCTGCTTCATGTGGAGTTGTAATACTTACTCTGTAATCATATGTAGAGTCTGGGTTCTCCTCACAAGCAATGACCTCAGGTGCCATCCAGTACGGTGTGCCAATAAACGTGTTTCTTCTCCCAATAGTCCTGTCCAGTTGAGCACTTACGCCAAAATCCACTGAAAAGCCAAGCGGAGATAAAGAAATTAAGACAGTTGTATCCATGTGGCAAAGTATTTGCTTGGTTACTGTCATGCTATTTAGAATACCAAACCTTTAGGCTACAATACATAACAAATCTGAGTTCCTCAGTACATCTTGTCCAATAGTTGAAGTTTAAATGCCCCTCCCCCTTTTTTCCCCCCTCTTTTTGACAAATAAACAGCATATTAAATTTGCCAGGCAGGTTACAGCAGACATGAATTGGTCTAGCAAGACGTCATGGAATAATTTATGTTTAATCTAAACACCACATTGAGTAGGACTTGAGATCTTTAACTAATACCTGAAAAGTAGCATCTACAGATAAGGCAAATTTGTATGTGTCTAATATGGCTATTTGTGAAAGCTGGAAAAAACTATCATATCACTTCCTTTTGAGGTGTTTGGAATAACTCCATCCCTACAATCATATGTTACTTTAGAACAAGCTGGAGATTATACTAGGTTATTCTTAGACTCATAATGAGAACTGTGTGGTGCTCTTTGTGCTGAAAAGGGTGTTACGTTCAACAGGATTGTACAGCAAAATGGTTTTGTTCAGTATGTAGAAAGGCCCATGCAACCAGTAATTATATGATTGTATTTTTCTTTGAATCAACCTCCAAGATACACTAATTGGATCCACTGGGCACAGAACTTGAATGCTATTCACAAAAGACAAAATAACACACAAAAGAAAGGACTGAAAGGAGACAGCCCTATGGTTATCATCAAGGAGATTTTCTCACTTACCTCACTGCAGATCATCTGCAAACCACAATCATTTGTACTACTATAATTTAATGTGCCTGTTTAGCAAACCTGCTCTAACAGTTAGACTTGACCTTTGGAATTATCATGCGCTCTGTGCTTCTGATGGGAAGTGTTCATAATTACACTGAAGTGGAGCAGAACTGGGCTGAGGACCTCTTGGGTTTCTAGCTTCTTTAACACACACACAAGATAAATCTCTCTGAAAACAACTTTTTTTTTTTTTTTTAATTAATTGTTGTACTTCGTAAATCTGTTTCATCTTTACCCAGAGTTAGAAAGACCTAACTTTCTTGTCAACCATGTAAAGAATGGTAGTACTAGTTACTATAAAAGACCAAACACACACAAACCTCTCCCTCCCCGTCTTCCCAGTTTTAAGAGGGAACAGTTGAAAACTACTACATATCTTTTAGAGACTACTAGCAAAATCCTGCCTTCATTTAATACAATAGCAAAACTCCCTTTGACTTCAGTAAAGCCAGGATTTCCTCATAAAGTTAAACCATGAGATTTAAAGTACTTATTTTTCTTGCTCCAGCCAAACATCCTACCCCCCACCCACAGTCCATGTTTATTATTTTCGTTCTCCAACTATACAGTGAATTCTTTTAATTAAAGAGACAGGAAACATGAAGATCGTCCCAAATGAGAGAATTGCTGTCCTTGAGACTGCTTCTTTAAATCATTGCCACTCATTCTCTGTTATGTTTTTACCAAAACATCAAAGACATCCCCTCCTCAAAAGAGGTATGTATTTAAGTTTAATCTTGGGAAGTCAGAAGTTGTCAACACTGACAGATCACAGCGAGAAAAGGAAATTAGTAAACTCACCAACATTTTTGAAAGATTACTATTAGTAAGAGCTACTCCTCAGTGGTAGCCCTTATATGTGACTAATCTCACCTATTGTCAGGTTTATGAAAACCTCCAAGACCACTTCCCTTAGAGAAATGAATTAGCATAAATTATTCCCCTAACTTTTTTATTTTGGAAGTCTCTGCATGCCAGGGTATGCTGTGAAGGCCTGATGGTGCTGTGACTTATCAGACAGGTTCTGTGTTTGACTGCCGAGAAGTAGCTGTATTCCCCACAGGCTGAGTCACATCCTTGCAGAGCATGTCACATTTTCAGTTCTTTCTACATGACAGACACCTTATAAAGACAAGCATTAATGCTACTTGACATGTTTGTTGCTATTAGGTTACTGAAGTTCTTTCTCAAACAAGATGAAAAACTTAAAAATTTACGAACAGGTTTCTAGCACACATTTACGGAAACTTACCCAGTTTTACTTCTGCATTTTCTGTGAGAAGGACGTTCTGCCCTTTAATATCTCTGTGGATGACATGGTGAGCATGAAGATGTGCCAAGCCCTAAAAGAAAAACAGACTTTCCTTATTTTATTTCCTCTCATTGGCACTGTTGCCTTTTTACACTTTTGTCAGACTTTATTCATAGGGAAAGTCCGTCAGATGTTATTAGCAACATGAAGATGCCAGTTTCAAGGAGGAGAGAGGACAGCAACCACAAGTTTGATTGTCTTCTTTACTCACAGTAGTTGAGTATAGCTGAATTTAAGTGTGAACAGAACAAGCTAACAATATTTTAAACTTCTGCCTCAGAACCAAGGGTTGCCTCTTTATACCATGTGTTAAAAGCAAACAAAAGAGGAAAAGAGCAACACAGAATGCTCTGTATGAGAACCATAGACAGCAGCTGGCTGGCCATAGTGGCTTGAATTCTGCATTCAGCGAAACTGTGTTCAATAGTAAATGGACCACAGAAAGTTCAAATTCCTCTTTTTGAATGCAGCAAGTATTGTTTTCAGTCAGTTAATATTTGATGAGTGTAAACCAAATGTTTTTAACATCTGTTGCTTTAATACAGATATTATAGCCACACAACTTAAGAGCATCCTGACCAGACCATTAAGATTTTTAGTTTCTTTGCAGAAGCTCTCCCCATGCTCTCCAGCTATAGTTATATTAATCTGCAGTCTAATGCCAAATCATTGTAAGAGGGCGAATGTTCTCTACTGAGCACGCTTCTCAAAAAACTCTGCTCCAGAAACAAGACTGACCCCTATTCAAGCATTACTTCTGCATGCCATTTGAATTCCAGCTCCCAGAATACATATTCATCTTACCATTATTTGGAAAAGAAGTAAAACTCCATTACAAGGAAGATGGATAAGTAACTCTGTAATGGGTTTTGAAAGCAGAATGGCAGGTTCCAACATTATTTTTTTTCTAGTCTAGTTCACTAGATTACACTTGGGAATTGTTTTATCCTCTGTAGCTTCCAGGACAAAACAAAACAAAAAGATAAAAGAAAAAAACCAAACACCTGCATAGAATGAAATACAGCCCCAAGAATTGTCTTGGGGAATATTGCCCCAGCAGGGCCACCTTTCAGATTTTGGAATGCCGTTCAGTCAACATTGCTTTTAATAGTGTGGAAAAGAGGCCCTTGAGTGTGTGCAGGTAAAGGAATTATGAACAGAAAGATCTTAAAGATCTTACACAGCATGAACAGCTGACGCAATGAGCTGTAAGATCTCCTGATGTGGAGGACACTTACTGAAAACAGAAAACTTACTTTTCTAGATGCACGGAATCCAAACTTTCAGATTTCATAGGAATCATAGGAAACAGGAATTTTCTGTACTTCATGCAGAAAATGAGATTAACTACAGTAATATGGGATGTCAAGCAGCCATCATGCTGGCTTTTTAGGCTCTTCTGAACTCAAGGACCACAGCTCATGAGCCCCACGGATCAAAACCTTTAAACAGTAATGCTCACTAGTGACCTATGTTAGCAACAAAAGGCTTGGAAAGGCCTTTTTGTTGCAAATGAGCAAAGCTCTGTTGGCACAACTCACCCTGAGAACCTCTCTGCAGATGTACGCAATCCAGTCTTCCTTGAAACAGTTCCCTTTTGTCTTCTTGACCAGGTCAGTGACAGAGCCCGCACCACAGTACTCCATCACCAACTGCAGAAAGACAAACCTAATACACCTTTACCAGAGCACTGACAGGGTGCCAGCAGAGAGACCATGTGCAAACACCCACCCCACCACAATCAAGGTGTGGAAAGCTACACGCGACCTTCCCAGATGCCAAGTGACATAAAATCTCATTTCCTGAATCACACACATCACTGAGTAAATAAAAAGCCTCAGCAGTGCTCCCTCCTATTCCAGGTTATGGGTACTTCTTTTCTTTTTCAGAAACGACACAATCAGAACACCATGAGCTAACAGCACTGAGAAACATGGGAATGTGTTCAAAATCTGAAATGTCTCATTTTGCTGCAGAGCTTCAAAAATCCTACAGCCAAAAAAATTGAGGATTCATTTTTCTTCTCTGCTTTGTTACCAATTCCTCTGTTCCCTTTTTATTTGCCAACTGAAGAAAGGAGTGGAAAGAAATAAGAAAAAAGAGAGGGGGGATGAGGACAAGCTCTTTTTCACTTTCATTAAAAATAAACAAATTACAGAAATGTTTAATTTGAAAAAAGAAATTAAAAAAAAAAAAAAAGCTCAAGCAACAAATCATAATGACAGCACAAGTCACAAGAATCATAACACACTATGTCCATCCTCAAAGAAAATCATAGGGGTGAAATGATCTTGGGAGTAGCAATTTTTCTCTTTTATGTTATTCTTCAGAACAATGACTTTAGAGTTTCACTGAGACAGAGCCCCAGCCAAGCATGCTGGAGCTCTAAAGAAAGGAGCTGTAAATCTCATAAACAGAAATTACACTAAACACTTACCCAGAGCTGATCATCTTGGCCTGCAGGACTTTTCTTTACGAATGCGCCATAATATGTAGCAATATTCCGGTGATGGGAGTACTTTTTTAGCATGTTTATCTCCAGCTTGATTTCCTCCTCTTCATTCTGCAGCAAAAGAGAGCAGAAGGCTCCTTATGTGGCCAGAGATCACTGAGCTCCAGGGCTGCCCAGAGTTGCAGGGCCACCTCTGTCTTCGGAGGCTTCCAACATCCAGCTGGAACCAGCCCTGAGCAACCTGGTTTGGTCCCATGGCTGACCCTGCTTTGAGCAGGAGATTGGACCAGAGACCTCCTGAGGCTCCCTCCAACCCGAGTTATCCTATGATTATGAGACTGCAGCTGAAGGACAGGCCCAAACTGACGACTGAACCACCCTGATCCATAGGGTTAAAACAATGAATTGCTAGGGTTTGACCTAATGAATTAAAACCATCCCTATTCAGGTACAATAATTGCATACTGTCTCCTTAGGGGGCTGAGATAGGACTTCTTACTCCCCATTTGCGGTTTCTGTATGTGGTAATTTAGTCTTAGAGAAATTAACCAGATTCAAACAAAAATAAAAATATTCCTAACACTCCATTACTTAAACACTTGGAAAAGCACTTAGTGAACACATCAGCCAATTTGTCTTCCCAGTCCTGTGGAGGGTCTTGCTGGGAGGAAACTGAAGCCAAGAAGGAGGCGACTCACGACAAATCAAACTCCAGAGCCAGCACAGGGTTATGATCTGCTCCTTCCTTACAGCTGTGAAGCTACCCAATCTGGACCATGAGGGTTTTCCCTCCTTCCTAACATCATGCCATCGGTTAAGTCTCTGGCATGCTGGGGGCTAGCACACCCCTAGACATCTCCTTCCAGGCACTAGCTAGCCCTGCTTTCCCACTTTGTTTCAGTCTCTTCAGGGCAGATGTTCTCTTCGACCCAGCACAGCACTGTGCACAATAAGACAACTAATGGAAACACAAGTTTTAATAATTATGTTAGAAGAAATGCCCTTTTTTCCAGGGAGAACTGCCTGATCTGAAGAGGTCCTCTCAGAGCTAGCCTGTTTGCTATGTTGCCACCAAGAGAAAGGGTGCACAGTACCTGGTGAAGCACATATAGACTTTGCTGTCTCATTTGCTTTAATAGCAAATGAAACAGGCATCTTGCATTGCAGGATGTCCTTGTACAGTTAAAAGGAGTATGACAAAGTTAAAAATGTATTTACCTTGCTGCAAAACATCCCAGTCAGCACTTAGTAGCTGAAGGGACAAATAGAGACAGCAAGAACAGCTCAGCCCCACAGGACATTTTTCTGCATTTTTTCATTATTTTCCAGTAGCTTTGCCATCGAAGCATTCATTTAACCATCACAACAGACTCTCACAAAATCAGCTGCATAGTCCTTTCTACCTGTAGCAGAACATTAAAGCCTGACAGGCTGAAGCCAAATTCCCTCAAGCATATGCATATGATGCGTCTTAAATAAGACCACACAAAAATCATTCTCACCAGAACGGAAGGGATCAGTA